TCAAGGAGATGGATTGACACGGTGGCTGCAACAGTGGGCTCAGGTATAGCAGGGATTGTGAGGATGGCACTATGAGTTGGAGCTGACTCCACAGCACTTAACAACAACAACAACAATAACATTAAAAAAAAAAAAAACCTGCCTTATATAAATGGAGGATTCTGTTTAATCTATCTAAATGTTCAGAGGTGGAAAGATGGAGAAGAATAAGATCTTTTTTTATATAGTGCAAGGGAAGCATATAACAAGAGGGTAATAAAGCTGAATTTTTTACCACTTTTGTAGAGGAAGAAAGAAGAGTGACTTGCATCTACACCAACAGACACGGGTCCTTTATTGGCCACAGCTTCTTTCAGGGCATTTTCATCGCCAAAGGGTAGTTCAGTGTACTTTGAACATGTGGCAGCCCGGTTTTTTGGGTCATACTGGCACTTTTCATCCTGCAGAAAGAAGTATACGTTAACTTTCTTTATAAATCACCAACAGCCTAAGTATTTTGGATTTCAGGTATGTTTTCTTTCTTCACATTTAGCCTTTTTTCTTTTAATTTATTTTGTTGTTGCTGTCGAGAAGATACACAACAAAATATATACCAATTCAACAATTTCTACATGTACAGTTCAATGCCATTGATTACATTCTTTGAGTTGTGCAACCATTCTCACCTGCCTTTTCTGAATTGTTCCTTTATCATTAACATAAACTCACTGCTCACTGCCCCCTAAGTTTCCTACCTAATCTTTCAAGTTTCTTTTAGCCTTTTCTTATGGCTTGAATTTTAAGGTCAGATTCATATTTTAAGCAAACTATTTTGGCAGCAATATGAAAAGATGGGTTTGACAGTAAAGGAGACCAGTTAAAGAAGACAGCAATAGTCCAGGCAAGAGATGTCTCCTTCTCTTTTACAGAAAGAAAAATTGAACCTTCCAAACCTTAACAGTTCCATGTTTTATCAATAACAGAGGGAGTATAGAATGGTTGTTTTAAATTGTGAGCATCTTTGTACATGCAAAAGTTGCCAGGACAATGTCCCCCTGGGTCCCAGGTGGATTAGAAGGTAATCCTACCTAGAGGTCATAAACTCTAGAACTTTCAATTTTTTTTGATGATAGTAATGTCTGGTGCTGCTGACCTGAAGTTAAAATGATGGTTTATGAAGACTATATGATAGAGAAAGCACTTAGAGTATATTTATGCACATGAAAAAAAAGAAGGCTACAAATTCATGTTTGTTTAATATATAACTATGTTTTTTTAAAGTTGAAGTAGGAAAGAAATGGAAAGAAATAAACCAAAGTAATAATGGTTAAGATAATAGAATTTTGGATAATTTTATAGTTTCTAAATTTACTGTATATTGATATATTACTTATTTAATAAAATACATAATGAACTCTTGAGGGGGAAGAGGGCATTACTAGGCTTCTTAGTAAATAGAAGAATGATATGGTCAATGATCTGAGAATATAGTTGAGCTGGTGCTGGTATGGGAGGCTGTGGGATAAAAAAGTTTAAAAACCAGGGACATATACAGGAAGAGTGTTAAGGAAGGTTTACTTAAAATAGATTTATTTAAGCATGAATTCTATTTGCTTGTTTAAAAATATTGTGCCACTGTGAACTAAGAGCTGCATAAGAGAACTTGAGAATCCAAGAATCCCCCATTGGGATTCTCTGACACGCACGACACTGCTTCTCAAACAGCTGGGTTGGAGATTAGTTCAGTGCTGTCAATGAATAGCATGAGGTCATGGGGCAGCATAAAAAAATTCACTTGTCACATACCCTGGCTTTGTAGGGATAGGAAGCTTCCGAATCGATGCCGTTGTTATCAATGATATATTGGAAAGCCTCTGTCATGAAGCCACCATTGCAGCCTTTATTCCCGTATTTTTTGTTTGAGCAGTCCACCAGGTTCTGGGCACTGAGAGACAGCAGCTTCCCTGTTTTCAATTTCAACTGTGCTTCCAGGGCCCCCACAGCACTGAAAGCCCAGCAAGCACCACAAGCACCCTGCGAGAGAAACAAAGTCACTGAGGTAACCATAGAAAGTCAGTCAGTAAGGATGACTTCCGTAATACAAATGGGGCAACTCCCAACCAGGTCAGTCCTGTCAGTAGTTTCCAGAAAGAGCTCACCCACTTCAATTTCCTCCAACGGAAAGGAAGACTAAATACTTGATTGTGCTCTGGGCAAATTTGAACTTTGATCAAAGTTTGCAAATGGCTGAGCTCAGAGCATAATCACCGTATTTAAATGTATTAAGAAACAGTACTTACTGAGCATGTACCAAATACCACCTACCTCCCCCCATGAGCAAAGGAGATATATTTCTATACCCCCACTGCCCTCCAGTCGGATCTGACTCATAGCGACCCCGCCTTGGATTTCCTAGGCGGTATCACTGTGAAGTGATCTTGAGGAGCTAAGATGCTTCACTAGACTTAAAAACTCTTCCTTCTGCCAAATGAAGGCTGAAACATGAGAACTTTAATACTAGTTAGCACTTTCAAACATTTCTAGTCTTAGAGTTTTGTGATCAAAAGATACTTTACAGAGAGGTATAAACAAACAGAAAAACAAAAAACTGCTTTGGTTAAAAAAGGTACAGAAGAGCCAGACCCTCATCACAATTACTCCTTTTTCTTTACCCTTCTCTGTCCCTCCCGCTTTGCTCTCTACTTAAGAAAGCAATTAGAAATTTGCTTTTGATTAATGCAATAAAAAAACCCATTAAAATGCAAGTATCTAGGGAAAAGAGCACATGAAATTATTCATAGTTAACACATAAATGTGTAGTTTATTGAGTGTTATTTTAGAGAAGCTAGGATAAGAGCTCAAAACTGCTTGAAAGAAAAATCTCTAGGTGAAAGAGAGTAAGAGATTAGCAGCACTATTCACTTCTTAATCCGTTTTTATTTCTTTATTGGTACAAGCAGAGGCAGCAATTCAGAACATTTTGATTCTTCTCTCTTACCCTGACCTCTAAGGTGACACATGTGTCTTACCCTTACTTATTCCTGACCAGTTAGGATTTATTGTAGTTTGTTTTTGTTTTTCTTTCAAGCAAACTGAAGAAAAATGAAAATACAAAAACATAGCAACAACACTGTTTCTTACTCTAGTAATGCAAACTGAGTTGTGAATAGAGGAACTGTGGTGGCACAGTGGCTAAGCGCTCAGCTTCTAACTGAAGGGCCAGCAGTTGCAACCCCCCAGGGGCTTCACAAGGGAAAGATGTGGCAGTCTGCTTCCATGGAGATTTACAGCCTCAGAAACCCTATGAGGTGGTTCTACTTTGTTCTATACGGTCAATACGAGTCAGAATTGACTTAATGACAAAGGATTTGGTTTAGGGTTAAACCATGAATTAACCTGACCAGTACACCTTACAAGCTGCTCTCAGCTCTAGTTCTTTCCTGTCTTTCAATCCTGAAATTCATAAGTGAGTTTTAGGGGGAAACTTCCTGATTGGTGTACAGACACACACACACACACACACACACACACACCACTGCTTCTCAAGCAATCGGCTTGGTAGAGGGTCCAGTACAGTTAATAGAGAGCCTAGGCACTAACATTTTATCTTAAAGACCTATTAGTTTACTTCACAGTTTTTGTCCAATGTGGCTGTAACCACTGATGTTCTAAGCACTGTGGGGAATACAAATAAAATACAATATTTGTATGTAACTAACTCACTGCCATCGAGTTGATCCCAACTCACAGAGACCCACTTTGGGTTTCTAAGGCAGTAATTCTTTGCAGAAATAGATTGCCCAGTCTTCCTTCCATGGGGTGGCTGGTGGGTTTGAACTCCCAATTTTCTGGTTAGCAGACAAATGCCTTAGGCACTAAGCCACCAGAGCTCCTTATATAGTTAAGTATATAGTATTAAATAAATATATATATTTGTATATAAACCAAACCAAACTGACTGCTGTGGAGTCAGTTCCGACTCTTAGCGACCCCTCCTTGGGTTTCCTTGGGTTTCCGAGGTAGTATCTCTACGGAAGTAGATTGCCCAGTCTTCCTTCCGAGGAGTGGCTGGTGGGTTTGAACTGCCAGCCTTCTGGTTAGCAGTCAAATACCTTAGGCACTACGCCACCAGAGCTCCTATACTTGTATATATGTTGTTGTTGTTGTTGTGTGCCGTCAAGTCGGCCCCGACTCATAGCGACCCCTCCTTGGGTTTCCGAGGCAGTATCACTACGGAAGTAGGATTGCCCAACCTTCCTTCCGAGGAGTGACTGTTGGGAGGAGCTCTGGTAGCATAGTGGCTAAGACACTTGCCTGCTAACCCAACATACTTGTATATATAGGAGCTTATAATTTAGTTGGGAAGACAAGAATAACAAAGTAATTAGAAAATACCATGAGGGACTGTGAGATTCACTGCCAAATTATGTAGCTACACTAAGCATTTAAGGAAGAAAGAGAGTTCTACCTGGGATATGGAGGCCTGGCATGATAATACTCACCTGGTATTTTACATCAGTAACACACCCTTTCTGTCTCCAGTCCATAGAATCAGGCAATTTCTGATTAGGATTTAACTTGTAAGTGACATTTCTCTGCCATTGGCTGGGAACTCTCAGAGAAGTCATCAAAGACACCACTTCTTCACTGGTCTACAAAGTAAATATATATCTTCTTTCACTTGTATCCTTCTTTTCAATATCATAATAACTGTATCTGGGAATATATTAGAAAACTGAGAAAAACCAATGTTAGTTGTGACCGTCATAAGTACTATTTACTACTGGTGGGTAAATTATCTAGACCTTTTGGGTCTTCCACTTTGCATTATAGCACCCCAGTTAGGCACCCTCATTGGGAAGGAAGGAAAAAAAAAGAATTAGAATTACAGGGAGGCAGATTTCAGGTTCAAAACAAGACAGAATTTGATAAAAGAGCTATCTAAAAAGTAGACTGAACTGGTTTTCCTTGTGAGAAAGAATTGCACAGGAGAGTAAGTGGGAAGTTGGTCTAGCTAGGGTGTTCCTTTCCGAGGAGTACTATGGCAATCAATACTAGTAAAGTTTTGTTCAACAGAATATGCTCACTAATAGGAGATATTTGTGATATTAAATACCCTACTCTCCCATTAAGAAAATAGGTGGACTATATTAAATTGTCAGGGAGCTCTGGTAGCATAGTGCCTAAGACACTTGACTGCTAACCAGAAGGCTGGAGGTTCAAACCCACCAGCCACTCCTCAGAAGGGAGGTTGGGCAATTTACTTCCGTAGTGATGCCGCCTCAGAAACCCAAGGAGGGGTCACTATGAGTCAGGTCTGACTCTAACAGCACACAACAACAACAAACAACATATTAAATTGTCAGTTTAGACTTAAGTACGTAAATGAACCAGTGCCCTGGAGAAGGATATCATACTAGGTAAAGTAGAGGGTCAGTGAAAAAGGGAAAGACCTTCAATAAGATGGATTGACACAGTGGCTGCAACAATGGATCAAGCATAGCAAGGATTGTGAGGCTGGCACAGGACCAGGTAGTGTTTCATTCTGTTGTGCACAGGGTCCCTATGAGTTGAAACCGACTTGACAACACCTAACACTAAGAAGTAAATGAGAAATGTAAAAATACAAAAACATAGGAACAACAATTTGATAAAGCCTGTATTTCTTACTCTAACAATACCCTCAGGACCATGAATTGAAGGAGCCCTGGTCGTGCCACGGTAACTTACTATAAAAAATGTGCGTGAATAGTCTTTAGACAGTGCTTTCTAGAATAAAAAATAAAACTAAGTATTCTTTAGTACCTATTTAAAATATTCCTCTAAAGAAAGGATTTGTAAAGGAGAGTGGTCAAAGGAGGACTGAAAAAGACACTCTGTGCAAATTCTTGTCCTTAAATTCTTTTTTAGTAACTTTGCACACATATAGCTTTATTTTCCTTTGTTGTAGTTGTTGATAGCATTCAAATTGTTTTGGGGAAGACAGATACCATGTTTGACCAGGCATGGAAGTAGGGTTGTTTGTAGTTTACCTACCATGTCTCCCAGGTGGTTCATGCCTACATCGTATGAATGCATTCCCATTGAATGCTCTAGATTGTGAAGCATCACAAACTTTAGATTCTTTTCCCAGATGAGACGCCGTGCTACTTCCTCATTCTAATATATAAGGAAGAAGAACACAGTTAGCTTTAAGTTCAAATAAACGTTCAATAACAAAAATAGCATATTACAAAGCATTCTACTAAATGTGGATCTGTCTGGGAACACTTGAATAAATGAATTTATATCCAGTATACTACTAAGGTCACATGTTAATCGTAATTCTAGCTATTAATTGCCTAAAGGGTGATTGATATTATTTTATGGTCTACATAATCATCTTCCTCCTTAATATGCTAAAATATGTAGGAATTTTCTATTTTTAGAAACTACTCTTTGCTAAGGCATATCCATTATAGGGGATAAACACCCTTAATCTTTATAGGTCTTTATAAAATATCTTTTAAAACAAAAAAAATTTATTGTGATTTGGGTGAAAGTTTACAGAGCAAATTCATTTTCCATACAGCAGTTCACATACATTTTGTTTCATGGAATTGACTGCAATCCCCACAATGTAACAGCTCTCTTCTCACTTCCTCCCTATAGTTACCTCTTCCCTCTTCCCTGTGTCCTGCTTTCCTAAGCATTCCTACCCACCCTAAGCTGTTTCCCTGTGCAAATACTATCCTTCTGTTCTCCCATGATTGATCTTTCCAATGAGTGTATCTACCTGAGATAAATATTCACCTTATATACCTGTCTATTGTTTGCCTCTAAGCTACAGGAGTAGGTTCAATTCCAGGCCTGAAGGCTAACTAGGGGCCATGGTCTCAGGGATTTCACAAGGCTCTATCAGACCAGACCAGTCAGCCTGGTCTTTTTTATGTTTTTGAGTTTTGTTGCATATTGTTCTCCCACTCTATCCAGGATCGCCTGCACTGATCCCTTTTTAAGGGGTTGACAGTGGTGACTGGGCACCATCTACTTCTGTGGAGTAGAACAAATAATTTTTTTTCTTTTTTTAAATTGTGCTGTGGGTGCACATTTATAAAGCAGATTTGTTTTACATTCAACAGTTCATGCACATTTGATTTCATGGCCCCTATTACAATCCCAACCATAAAAATTCTCTTCCCCTCTCCTCCCTGTGACTACCCACTCCCTGTGCCCTTATTATCTATGCATTACTGTCTGTTCAGCTTTCCGTCTATGTGGGTGCAGAACACACTGGTGACACTGTCAGAGAAAGTGACACCAAAATGACCATCTATAAAATTTCTGTCCTATGTTTCAGCAGAATTTATTATTTTTTATAAAAACAGCCCAGTAGTTAAACAATTAAACATTTAAACAATTAAAACATTTTTCCTAAGTCCAGCTGCTAAAGAGGCAAGGAGGCCACATCCTCTGACCTCTTCTAACCCCACAAGAGGAAGACAGAATCACCATCAGTAGCCCAAAGCCTATTCCTGCAAGGCCAGACATGCTGCCTCCCTCCAGCCCTTTCACCAACCCTGACACCAACTGTTTTTCCCGCAGCACCTACCACCTCTCTGCTGGGTTCGATAATTCACTGCAGTGGCCTCACAGAACTCACAGATTATGGGATTTATTAGGGAAGCAATAGGCTACAATTCAAGTTCAGAAATGCACTCAGTCTCTCACAGCCATCCATCTCACTTAGCAGACACCAATCTCTCTCTCAGCAGCACGTGTCTCTCTCTCTCTCAGCAAGTGCGTGTCTCTCAGGAGCATGTTTCTCTCAGCAGCATGTCTTTGTCAGCCCGTAGTCAGAGAGACCCCTTCTGCCTCTAGGAGGGCTCCTTTTGAGCCTGGCAGAGTGGCCAAACTAACCAATCTCAACATCAGAATTCTATACACCTGAGAGAAAGAACTTTCCAGAAGATTGCTTTGTGGCACTCTGAACAGAAATATCCCAGGTAGATAACTTTAACAATCAGGAGCTACTTAGTTGCTCATGACAAATTCCACCAGGAAGTTTTACAAAGTTTTACAAAGACTTATGGCTGGAAAAGCCATACCAAGTAATTTACTACGCCGCGCCAGCTTACATGTATCAATATACTCACAAAACTAAAACTTTACATTAATTTACTTTTTGAACCTTCATTGATCTACTTCTCTAAAGATATACAGCCTTGGAAACCCAATGGGGGTCACTATGAGTCAGAATTAACTCCATATTAGTGTTTTTTTTCCCTAAGTGCTCCATCCAGTCAGAGTTGCCATTATCATCCAATTACAATGTGCTTTAAATCACATGACTTCATTGGTATGCACTTCAAGCACCACTGTTGTTTTCTTTGCAGCTGGTAGTTTTGTTGTTGTTTATTTTATTTTTTATTTTTGGAGTATTCTCTCTACTCCTATCTCATCCCTGGTAATCAAGAAAGAAAGTTTCCTTCCATATATAAACCTTTCTTTGACTTTTTACAATAATGAACTAGTACAATATTTGTCCTTCTGTGATTGATTTATTTCACTCAGCATAATGTCCTCCAAATTCATCCATGTTATGGGTATTTTGCAGATTCTACATTATTCTTTAGTGTTGCATAGTATTCCATTGTGTGTATGTACCATAGTTTGCTTATTCATTCTTCTGTTGATGGGCACCAAGTTGTTTCCATCTTCT